AGCAACCCCTCGGTCGTTTTTTAGCGTGTTAGTATAAACACACCAAAGATGCAGATAAAGTGGGACTGTGCTAATTCTCCTGGAGAGGCAGTTAATTCCAATCATCTCTTGCTTAGGACTTCTGGCATCACCGCCCTCGGGCAGAAGAGCCCCCCACCATCCCGTGGAGAGCTCTGCATCTGCCCCAGGCCCCCCACAGACGGAGAGCGCCCTGCTTTAGGTGGACTATGAAAAGTTTCTTGGAATGCTCTGTAATTTGCAAGCTGGGATTTTGGGCAGTAAAGATGGTAGTATAGATGGTTACTTAGGACTTACCACAAAATCAGAAAGAAACATTGCGGGTTGTTTTTGTTTGTTTTTTTCTTTTTTTTTTTAAGTGCACAGGACGGCACAGTGCCTTTTCTTATGCAACAACTCCAGCGGGATACACCACAGGCACAAATCATCACGGGCTCCTGCCTTCCCAGTATTTCCTGAGGCGAGCGCCATATGGTTCCCAGATGGGTTTACTCCGTACTGAAGAACGGACACTTTCTCCCGGCAGAGAGGAGATGCCCTTGAAAAAAACACAACAAGACTTTACACTGCAAAATGAAAACTTTCATTGTTTTATTCTTGACTGCAGCTGTTTACAGAAATATAGTTGCGAGTATACAAATGTCCCAATAGAAGCAAAATATTTTTATTTTTTTAATATTCAACAAGTTATCACAGGATAGCTAAAAACATAGATGCAAATGAAATATCCCCTCATAGAACAAACTGAAAACACCGGGTATCAGTGCTTTGAAAATCCCAACTACGAAAGCCATATACACAGAAATGCACAAAGGAATATCTGGTGCTACTTTCACATTGCAGGACAGAGGAAGAGGCAGCTCAGCGGTTGATCAGTGCACTCCAGGAACACACGGCAGAAAGGCGGGTAAACCACTCAAAGATGCAGCTAATAACAGAGGTAGAAAGCTCTGCTCTGAAGTTTTTTGGAGCTTACTCATTAATGACAAGCTGAAATATAAGTATTTCAAATGACTTCATTTCAAATAGTGTCCAGAATGGAGAAAAAAGAAAAAAAAAAACAAAACCACACAACTTTGGGAATACTGTGGACTTCTAAGCAGGATACTGGAACTTGTTCCCAGGTCTCCAACACCCAGAAGCGCCACTCTCTCTCCTTTCAAAAGAGAGCTTTCCCCCAAGTGCTGTTATCCCGACCTCCGGGACAGCCATGGTCCGGCGTGGGGACCCACCTGCACACGGGACACTCGGGTCAGACCTTCCCCAGCTCACAGAGGGGCAGTTCCAGGGACTAAAAAGAAGTGAAGGCCATTTCCGTGATCTGAACACAGCACCCTTCGCTAACCTGAATCCTGGAGCGATTCTGGAGCACACAACTGGATTATTTCCCAGTGGGCTGCTGCTGGGTGCCGGAGTCTGGGAGTCTGAACCAAGCACTTCCAAGAGAGTGTCGGTGAGTATCCCACAGCGAGCAGGGAAATCCTCGGATTCCTGATCGTTGCCCCAATACACTTGAATGTTATGAGGCAATTTCTTGAACTGTAACAAGCAAAAATCACAGATCCCTGGGAACAGCGGAGATCAGACCTGCAAACTGATGGCTCAAAGAGAAGAAATAAGGACGTTTGCTTTGGCAGAGGTGCTCCGATACAGCCTGTACCAGGACAATAATGGCTATCGACCACCCTCCTGTCAAACTGCAGTAGAACACACCTGATTTGGCATGAAGAGTCGTGGTGGAAAAAACACGCTATTGATTTTATGGTCTGGATTTCTTTTAGAGAGTTTAATTTCTCACACTATGTGTAAGAAATCAGTACAAGTTGGGGCAGGGTTCCTCACGGCCAGAAACCACGGACAGCTTTCACCAGCTTTCAAGGAGAGAGTTTTCTAGATATTGACTGTTGCAGTACAACATCAGTTAAAAACAAAAAAAAAATAATCTAAAGATGCCTGCCTTTATGAGAACAAAGAGAAGAGGAATGACAGATTAAGCTTCGCCTTCCCGATCCAAACGCAACCCAGCTGAGCAGCAGCCGCCGCTATCCTTTGCTATGCAAGAATGATTAATAACCCTCACTGGGAGAGAGCCGCTGGTGTCAGTCCAGCTCCTCCGTAGCAACACAACCACCACTATTCCCTATCGTCACAAGCTGCTGGGACACCGAGAACGGGAAAGGTCCCAAAGTCGGAAGTCACCTGAGGAAAGCTGGCATGGGAGCGCAGGGATGCAGGAAGCCTGTGCTGCGGCTGCTGCCTCTCCGGAGCCCACCCAGCGGGCAGGCTCTCGACCCAGGCTGTCAGTTCTAACGTTTTGCTAACACCACATCTGCAATTATTAATAAAAATATATATTAAAAAAAATATATATAAAAGTACAGCTGTTTTAAACCCATGGATATTAGTGACCTTCACAAGCAGAGCAAGTTTCTGGAGCAACGTTACCAGGAGCGCCACATGTACAGTACTGAAAGGCGTTCATACAACTGTTAACGAGTTACTACAAAATCCTTGGTAAACAACCTCATACTAAGGAAAAAGTAATATTATTTCAGGTTTATAAAAATGTAAATATAACAGTATTATATGCATGTGTTTACTAATTATTTATATATAACAGATATACGATTCCTCTATATACATATATATAACCCTAGAATATACAGGCATATGCATATTTACATACATATACAGAGTACAAGAAAGGAAAAGCCTCTCCTGTGTAACCCCTCAGAGCCTCATACGCAACTAGAGAATTTTATGAATACACTTTTACTGGAGTTTATCTGCTGCTGCATTTTTCCTCGTATCTAAATAACACTTATCACATTTCCAATTGGGATCCTCTCTGCTCGATCCCCTGCCTGCAGCGTGCACAGACAGACCCGCCTCTCTTTGTAGGCTCAGGTGACTACTGTCCTGTGCAACTGGCATAATTGGTCTGAACATGAACATGAAGTGCTCACAAGCTATCCCAAAAGACTACTCCAAATTGAGACAAAAACCCCAAACAAAGCAAGCATCTCAGTACCAGTTTCCTTTTAGCTTCTAAAATGCTGGAATTGCCACCAGGCCCTCAGGAACACAAAAGACACCTATTCCTTGAAAATAAGTTTTGCGCCAATGAGAAGTCACCAGTAATCACTATTTCTTCCTCTCACCTTCCACCTACAACTCATAGCTCAGAGCATGCAAAGCAATTCATTCTCCTTTTGCTCCACCACTCCGATAAATGTCCGTAATCCCTTGTACTCCTCTCCTGTAATTACCCTGAAAAAGTAACGCAGCAGTTTGCCGTGCAGAGGCATGGCATTCAAAAACTGACAATTCTTTTTTTAACTTTTCATGAATGTGCACGTGCATGCCTGCAAACACACATACATACCCCGGGGGAAACTACGGGTAGCTTCTTTAGTCCAGTAACAACTTTTTTATTTTGCTTTTTAATAAATCACCTTTTCCTGCTACTCAAGCAGTGATTTAAACAACATTTTAAGACAAATGCAAACTTCTGACTTGTTTGGTGTTGTTTCTGAGGACCCTGGAAAGATAGTAAGAGAGTAGAAAATCTATTCAGACAACTTTTCCTTTTTGGAAACTATATCCTAAATCAAAATCACAACAGAAGCTTTTAAAAAGAAAAAAAAAAAAGTTCCACTTATCTAAATTAGGGGAATGTCCGCTGATACAGCTGCCCAGACTCTTAGTACGTCCAGTAAAAAAACCTGCCGAACCTGTAACAAACACTTAACTGTTCATGCTTTACTCTATTGTAAAACTAAATAGGAAGTAACCACCCTGTCAGTAATTAAAAGTAATTATAATAAAACGGTTGGTGATTAAACATCCACTTTGAAACAGCAAGGCTGAAGTTATTTCTTGAACTATTTATATGTTGAAATAATAGCAAAGCATTTGGCTTGAAAGATCAGACAGTGAAGAGGCAATTAATAAAAAAAAACGTGGACTTGCTAATTAAGCACAAAGCACTAATAACTCCCTACCGGAGGAGACGTTTAGCTAATAACTTCGTAGTATGTGTTACTCATATGTAGGGGGTTTTCTAATATATATACACACACACAGAGCGTGTAAGTGGACAAGAGACTGTATGCAGAAGTCCTGGCTGGTGGTTAGCGGGTACAGCTCCCTAGATTCTCATCTCTGCCAAG